CATTGTTAAAAGGATTTTCCTTTGAAACATGATCGCTTCCCTTCATGTTTAAAGAAAATGAATCATTTTAAAGGGGAAATGAAAGGAATTAATCATGTTTAAGGGGAAAATGAAAGGTGTTAATCATGTGTTCAAGGAAAATACAAGAAATAACAACTTAAAGAGACAAGGACAAGGATTCATCAGTATTCAACGCAAAAGCGGAAGGACTGAGCAATTCCTTTCACTTTCCATTTTAAAGTGGGCACGTTTTAATGTTTAAACAAAAGAATCATTTTTTATTAAAGTTAAAGGACTTGACCACGTTTAAAGACATATATTAATTGTGAAAAGAAATCAAAGAACATAATCATATCTAAAAGGAAACAAACCAAAAATAAACATTGTTAAAAGGAAACTTGAAAAGAAATAGTCACTTTGAAAAGGGGTAATCTGTTTTACAAAAAACGTAAAAGGAAATAGTAGTATTTAAAAGAAAAATACAAGGGAAAATCATTTTTTAACAGAATTAAGGACATGACCATTTTGAAAAGGAAGCAAATTGAAAATACTAGTGCTCTAAAGGGAAAATAGAGGCATCAACTCTTTTTAAAATGAAAACGACAATACTCATTTTGTAAAGGGAAATACAAGGAACTAATCAGCTTTTAAGGTAAATAAAAGAAATAAATCAAATCTATTTTTTTAACGAAAAAAGAAATAATCAGCTTGAAAGGTAAATTAAGGACATAAATCAACTTTTAAGGCAAATAGGGCAAATAGAAGAAAACAAAAAATCAACACAATAATGGAAACTAGTCCAGAGATCAGACTAGTTGTGGAAGCATTGCTTTTTTGTTTTTTGTTTGCGCAAGAATTCAGATTGAATAGTACTTCCTGAGAAGTCTTGCTGTGAAAACTTTTGCTGTGACATTAAGGATGATTCAAAAGGAAAGTGACCGGACCTACTGGCTTCCTTTCTATTTGTTTGGAAAATTTCACTAGTTTGCCTATTTTTACTATTGTTGAAAATGGGGGGCGGCCGGAGCTCGAGCCAGGACTGTGGCATGTGAATCATTGAGAAAACAAAAACTCCAAAACAAAAGATTTGGCAACTAGTCCAGAGATCAGACTAGTTGTGGAAACATTGTTTTTTGTTTTTTGAGTGTTTTTTTGTTTTTGGTTTTCACAAGAATTCAGATTGAATAGTACTTCCTGAGACGTCTTGCTGTGAAAACTTTTGCTTTGACATTAAGTATGATTATTCCAGATTCGCCTGTGCTTCTAGAGTGCGGCAGATAAACGCAGCCAAATACAGGCACACGTCCTCTCATGCCACGCATGCAGCAAAGCCAATGGTAAGCTGCGGCTTTGGTCAAATTTTCGTCAAAATATATATGATATATGTCCCAAGTGTCTCAATTTTCTGCCACCCACAACAGGCCTTTCTGCGAGGAATATGCGTTATTGTTGTAGTTTTCTTTTACTAAATATGTGTTATTGTTGGGAAGTTTTAAAGCAACAATCGCTGTCATCGATTTCAGAACCTCTGTCTGTGTGGGTGCTTTCTTGGGGTTAAGTTAAGTCTACTGCTTAGTGTTTTGAGGGAGGGTGCTGGTATCAGTCTGGTGTTGGTCCATGTGAATGATGTATCTTGTTGGGAAGTCTTACCACAATGACAATAATTGCTGTCAGAACCTGTGTGGGTACTTTCTTAGGAAGTCTACTACTGATTTTGGGGAGGGCAGTGTCATTGTTGACAGTCCACATGAATGACTTGTGACACTCTGGAAACCCAAATGAACTTGGTTACAACCAACTGTTTACAACCTGGTTGGATGCCTGCGCAGGCCATGGCAAATGCTGTCAGAGCTGCTGCTTTGGATTTGATTCGAATGGCAGATGACACAAAATGGTTTGCGATGGTGGGTGGGAGGGACAGCGAGTGAAGTCTGACAGCGAATGACACCACGTGACTAATACTGTAACAGTGATATATGTCTATTTTTCTAAAAGTATGCAGTAAATAAGAAAGGTAGGCAGGGCTTCGTCATTGCAGTAAGACCAACAGTAAGACCAACGCAAGGTGTGGCTGCGCAAAAGTTTGCGCAGTAAAGCAGTTTGGAAATGTGACTCTACTAGAATGATGAGCCAGTACTTCCTGTAGTGGGTTTTCTTAGGACATATGACCACCCATGTTCATGTTTTTTGAAGATTTCAGCCACCTGATTTATGCGTGTGTGATTCACTCCTCTTATTGCACAGAAGTTTTTGTATTAGTCCTCGTGGATGTGCCTTCATGTTTTGCATGTTTTTGCATTTTAAATCTCTTTAGGCACTGTTTTGCACATTTCATCGTTTTAAAAGCATTTTCCGCACACAGGACTCATGAACATAAAACCTCTTTGATCTAATCCTCCCTGATCCGACCCTCGCTTTTGTTTTGCTGATTACTTTCTATCAACGTCGAGTATCCATCCTGTTCCTGAGGAGACTGAACCGATGAACGAGCCAAAGACTTCGGAAGATATGGAAACTTCGTTTTGCCAATTGTTTTTAACTCCAGATGTCTTGCGGCAGGTGAGGAGCGTCTACGCTCGAGACTTCGTTCTCTTGGGCTACGAGCAAAAAACGCGCCCGGCGTCTGCGCTGTGAGATACGTTTCAACCAACAAGAAACAAAACGGTTTTCGCGAGTGGGAGCTCAAGTTTTCCGGACTTTCAGGCACATTTCCTGAGGATAAGCGGGGGCAATTTGACGCATGTCTACGAACGGTTTGCGCGGCAGGAGGGTGGCGAAAGTGTCTGAAAGCGATTTGCGTGTTCACCAGGACCAATAATCCTCATAGAATTTTGATTGGGCGCGATGTGCGATGGGTGGGAGCAATGGTTGACCAGAGTTGCGCAACCGCGCAATGCAAAAGCCAAACGCTTGTACACAACGGTTCCGCGGTTGCCATGAATTGGCGCAACCGGCCCCACCACAAGGTGAAAATAGACAGGCGGCCAATCCACAATGGGAGGAATGTTTGGAGGGAGCCTTGAGCCTCTTCATTGAGGAGCCTCCTTCAGGCTGACACGGAATTGTTTCGGGGTTTGTTTCGGAGTTGAGCAAGTGAATGGCCTAACTCATAGGCTAGCTTTGCAGAAGGGACGCGAGCAGATCGTAGACATGTTCCTTAGGACAACATCATCACGCGTAAATTGTTTTTTTCACTTACTGCACCCAAGGTTTAGGCTCAAGAGGGCCGTATTGTGCCCCTAGCTAGGCCTTGACCTTAGCGCCTTTTGTGCGGGCGGGGGTTGTGAAGTGGAGCTTCACTCCCCCTACCTTTTTGTCCTCCGCTCGTGCATGTGCATGGTTTGCGGCCTTTGGCTGCTCTTGGCTTGGAGCCATTGGTGGTGCGGCTCGGTGCCGGCAGCGCCGTTCGAGGGCCCGTGCAAGGCTGGTCCTCTGGAGAGCCCGCGCTGGTCATCTGACCTTGTCCCAAGCTCTTCGTCGGCGACTTTGGCAGAAGCTGGCATTGCACCACTCTGTGGACTGGCGTTTTCTACGTCCACGACCTCGCCAAGGCGTGACTTGGGCATGCACCTCATGCGGGCTTCGAGTCCCCGACGCAGTTTGGTTCTGCGGTCGCTGCGGACAACCTTTCGAGCAGAAGGGCGTCTCGAACGCCGAGACGCAAGCCCAAGGATCAACGAGATCGATCCAGGCAGGGAGGCAAGAAGGGAGCTGGAAAAGGAGCCACCAAACAGGCCCTCAAATCGAGAGAAGTCAAACAGTCCGAAGACGACGCAGAGGACAAGGTACCTACATTGGATCTCTACGCCTCGCCTTCTTCAATTGCCCCACCTTCCACTACAGTGGAAACTCCATTGATGCCGGAAGCTTCTGGAGAGGGGACTATGACTTCAGCCTCTGCGGCTTTGGAGGGGATTCCCACACGTGTGGAAAAGAGCATGGGCGAGCTCGACCGCCTGGTGGCCAAGGTGAAGGAACTGTTGGCCGACCTCAAGAGTGCCAGACAGGAGGAGCCGACTCCGGTGAAGACGGCTCAACCTTCTTACACTGGGTCGAAAATTGCAAAAGAAACAGCAGCAGCTCGAGAAACTCATGGCGCAACGAGTGTCCATTATCGGGAATTGGCAAAACTACAAGGTGCAAACGCAGCAGTTCTTGCAGAAGAAGTTCGATACTGCAGATGCTGCCAACAAGAAGACCACCTTGGAGATTGCCGAGTTGCAGATGCAAATCAAGCGCCTCCAGCAGCAATTGCGAGCTCATCAGCTCACATGCCCTGGAGAGGAGCCTCATGTAGCAGCCGGCAGCCTTTGGCGACGACGAGCCGCCGAACTTCAAGCTCCCGGATATGATCCTCATTCCCGACGACTCCGATGGGTTGGAGGAGACGAAAGCTATGCAGGCGGAATCGGAACGCCGTCGACTGGAATCGCAAAGGAGCACCCAAGGCTTCGTCTGGCAAGCCGGAAGGCCCTTTTTTTGAGCAGGCCGGGTGAACCTGGCGTGTCTTTTTCCAATGCCTCTGAATGGCGCTTCTATGACACCAAATCCCATGAGCTTTGGTGGGGTGAGATCGTTTGTACAGATTTAGAACTTTGTAGTCCACCCTTTTTCCATGAGCGTCTGGTTGAGCTTGAGTTGCTCCCAGTTGACCTCCTTCCGGATAGTGCAGCCACTTCACCTCTTTTCACCACTCTTTCTCTTCAGGAAATGCCAGATTCTCCAAGAGCGCTGACGCCTGGGACCTTCATGGCGGTTGGTGAGGAAGCCTTTGGAACAGTGGCCACCTTCATGAATGAGGAAGAGATGCAGACCTGGGCTGCAGTGGAATCGAGTCCGGCCCTTCATGGCGGTCGCTTTCCCCTCTTTCAATATGCGTTGCTGGACAGCACGTGACCAATGCCGGTGAGAACTACGACTGGCCCTGATTTGGGGAGTGAAAGCATTCGTAGAGCAACGATGGACTTGTGGAGAGGCAACATCAACCGACAGCTGGACATTTACTATGTTCATCCACAGCCAGACCTTCATCGTGCCACTGGTATCACCTTTGTTGTTGACATTCGTCGACCAGGTGTTATGAGAGGACCCACTGTTTTGATCTCCACTTGTGTGTTTGGTCCTGACAATGCGCAACAGTCCGAAGTCCTCCAGGCCGCTAACTTGGCTATGAGGCTATGAGATCACGCCCTATTGGATGGTGTGCTGACATGGATCTGGATGACAACCTGCTACGTGGACGCCCATGCCCGCTATGGACCTTTGAGACGATTTCACATGGTGAACTAGTGTAATTCCTCACTGGTCCGCCTCGTCCCTCTATTGATGTGGCGGCGGCTTTTTCTGTCCAGCCACATTTTCGCAACAGGCTGAGAACTTTCTTTGACCTGCTTCCAGCTCTTCAAGGTGTGATTGCGCGGCTGATACCATTCCGCAATGGGAGATCATTTCTACCCCGGGAATGTGGAACCTGGCGTCCGCAAGCTGAGGACCTTCATCAACTGGCTCGACTCATCCAGCAGTCTTTGGATGATCTTGATGTGGCGCAGTTTCAGGTGCTTTTACCACACCCTCTACCTCGGTCATTGCTGAGGATGGTAGCATCATGTTGCCGTTGATTGTAGCGCTGGAGAATACGCATCCACGTAATTTGATTTGGCTTCAGCAATTTGAGGTTTGAGAGCTGATTGGGCTTCCACTTTTGTCGAGGCTCAGAACTTTCAGTTCTTGATGCACCCTCCAAGGGTCAGTAACATTGCGAAAATTGAGCCTCAGCCTGGAGATGTAGTTGAAGCGTTTTTCCCGAGAGCGTCTGCGAAGGGTTCTTCGTAAAAAAACATCTGCAGAACGACGTCTCATCTACATCTTCACATCTCTGCACATCCACATTCTCACCTATATCTCTGCTCATCTTCACATCTACATTCACAACTGCACATCTACATCTCTGCTCATCTTCACATCCTCACATCTACATCTCACATCTTCACCTCTCGCTCTTCTTAACTTTCTCTCTTAAGGCCGGGGGCAGTGTCGCCGGACCGCCGCGAAACGCAACCCTCTGCGCGAACTGGCGACTTTGGAGTACAACTGTAGTACGCGGAGTAGCTGGGGAGCTGGAAGCTGAGAACTGGCGACTTTCTAGTACAACTTGAGTACGCGGAGCAATCTGTGGAGCTGGAAGCTGAGAACTGGCGACTTTGTAGTGCCATTGGACTACGCGGAGTATCTGGGGAGCTGGCAGATGAGAACTGGCGACTTTCTAGTACAACTTTAGTACGCGGAGCAATCTGTGGAGCTGGAAGCTGAGAACTGGCGACTTTGTAGTACAACTTTAAATAGTACGCGGAGTATCTGGGGAGCTGGAAGATGAGAACTGGCGAAGTTGTAGTACAACTTTAGTACGCGGAGTATCTGGGGAGCTGGAAGATGAGAACTGGCGACTTTGTAGTACAACTGTAGTACGCGGAGCAATCTGTGGAGCTGGAAGCTGAGAACTGGCGACTTTCTAGTACAACTTTAGTACGCGGAGCATCTGGGGAGCTGGAAGATGAAAACTGGCGACTTTCTAGTACAACTTTAGTACGCGGAGCAAGCCGTGGAGATGGAGGCTGAGAACTGGCGACTTTGTAGTACAACTTTAGTACGCGGAGTATCTGGGGAGCTGGAAGATGAGAACTGGCGACTTTCTAGTACAACTTGAGTACGCGGAGCAATCTGTGGAGCTGGAAGCTGAGAACTGGCGACTTTGTAGTGCCATTGGACTACGCGGAGTATCTGGGGAGCTGGAAGCTGAGAACTGGCGACTTTGTAGTACAACTTTAGTACGCGGATGAGTCATCTCTCGCCGCTGAGTCATCTTGCGGCTGCTCTGGCGCCCCTGCAGCTGAGTCATGTCTCCCGACCCGGTTTTTTTGAGAGGTTGACAAATTTTAGCTACTTTGCTTACTCATAAGTGGCTGCCACAAAGAGTCATCGTGACGTTAGTATGTGTGTACTTCACCTTCATGACAAACGATGTTCGCTTGGAATACACGAGTCGCTTGCCTTGATCGTGGCGTCGTTTACTCTCAGGTCGCCCTGTTCGTGGAAACTTCAGTGTGAAATGTACGTTCTTCAGTTCTATTTGAACCTCTTCAGCGTTGTACTTGCACAACTAAGGTTGACGTTGCACTGCCGTTGCATCAACGCATCTACGTCTACACCCCCTAACCTCTCTACATTTACATCTTCACGCGCTCACATCCGCAGATCTACCTCTCCACCTCACCACACCCACACATCTGCACATCTATATCACATCTGTACATCCACAACGTCGCTCCTTCACATCTGTCCTGTCTTTCTTTCTTTCTTTCTACATATCTTTTCTCTCGTCTCTGTGCATTTACATCTTCGCACGCTCACATCCACAGATCTACCTCTCCACCTCCCTACATCTACAGATCTATATCGCACCTGCGCATCACACTGTCACTCCTTCACATCCACCCTCTCTTTCTCTCTTTCTATACATCTTTTCGACAGTGCTGGACAATTACATGTCTCGCTCTCGGGCCAACCGTCGTCTAGTTGGAGTCTGATGTGGAACTATCTGACTCCAGCTCTCTTTTACAGCTCCCCCCCATCTTGTTCCCCACAGGTGTGCT